AGGTCGAAGGCGACACAAGCCACCCCCCGATCAAACGAGATTACATCGATCAAAGTAAGACGAAACCGATTACGAAATTACGTGATTAAATTATTATAAAAAAGGTTACAAAAGTTGAAGGCTGTAGATTGCGTGGTAGATGTGTGGATACTAGTGAAGCACACCAGTTCAGATCACAAACTCGGTCGCCTAATCCATATGGTCGGTCAGATGTGTTTATGATCAGATTGATGGGGATTGCACGCTCACTGCGAAATGACAAATTCAAATAATGAATGTGAAGATGTTCTGCACTTGATGCTTGCCGTCACGCGTAAACTGACATTAGTGTCGGAGGGATCCGGGACCCACAAATTTCTGGGCAGATTGGAATATTTCTGCGTTTTGACGATAAAAATGGCATCAAAACAGAGATGGATCGCAATAGCGTTTTAGTCGTGGCTACCTCCATGCTTACACGTGATTCACCGCCAAATGTTCTGTCGCTCATCTGTTCTTTATTTCATGCTTAGCGTAACAATGTGGACACCTTTCACAAAAGCTTATCGCGTCAGTGGCTTTGATCATCGCAAAAATATTCCCAAATATACTGCAAAGGAGTCAACGTCAAAGCTGTTCATCCGTGTCTACGATGCATACTTCAAAACAGGGGTGGAGTCTCCTATTCAATTGGACGGGGGGGGGGGGGTTAAGCCCTCCGCCCAACTCGGGCTCCAGCACTTTGAAAAGAAAGTGGACCAAATTCCGCGAAAAAACCCCGTTGTTGACACATTTTGGGGGTAGGTTTTTCTCACTGCTTTGTCCGTCACCGATTTTGCAATACTACGCCGCTGATTCAAAACATATGCCAACAAAAGACAAAACAGCGACGGCAAAAACTAGTCGGCAGGCTTCCAGCAGGCTCCGCCAGTGGCTTTGAATTATTACAAAACATTCCCACAAATACTGCTCTAATACTCATACCGCAATCATCACGGACCATTAACCTAGTTACAAGCAGGGAGCCAAAATGTGCAGGCATGTTCTGAAAGCGATGCCGGCGGATATATACTGACGTCGCATGACGCCGTCTGATTTCATGAGGTCAATAGACGCCGCGTGAACCTCCACCGATACCGATCTGCTGCCAAAGACCACTTCTCATTTCACCAAATTCCAAACTCCAGCAGTAGCAACTGGGGCTTTCTGACGCTTCGACGGCGCAGTCATATGGCGCCCATAACGCACGTCCTTATCTAAGTTGTTGACAATTTCAAAATGGGTTATTATGTGTCGCGAAGAATCTGAATCGGTGTATGTATATATTATAAATATATATATATATATATATATATATATATATATATATATATATATATATATATATATATATATATATATATAGAATGAATGATAGCATGCGAGAGGCATTTCGAGAATTGTTCGATTTTAGGTGCATTGGGGTGTATTGGGTAACTGCCGAGTGAATCGAAGAGCGTGTAAGACGGTGCAGTGGAGCCGAAGTACCGCAGACGTTCAGCACGTGATGCGGGACAAGAGCGGAGCACGTGACGCACAGTAGGCATTGTGTTACATTGGCAGCACCGAGGTGTTTCATCGCGACATAAAAGGTATCTGTGGATAGCGTAAGTATGGCTGATCTGCAAGCAACTTATGACTTCCTCCCGCCTCAAAATCCGATGAGATGATTGTGATTTCTTGAAAACCGGATTAATCGATTTTAGTTTGCTGGTGGCCACTGCATCCCGTATACTCTGCTACTAGCCTCGTAAAGAGGTCGATATGGCTGGGTTTAAGCACGTGCCGGGTAGTGGACACGATCCGCGCATGGACGAAGCGTGGCACGCTTTACGGCGGCGTCAGCAAAGCTCTACCACCGGTTACTACAGCCACAGCCACAGCCACAGCCGCAGACCTAGCCGTAGCCGCAGCCGCTAATGCGTTCGCAGAAGCCGACGAGGCACGCCGCAGGCTATTCTGAGGAGCCCGCGCGGCGATGGCTTTCAGCATTGACAACACCATCCAGGTTGAATTTCACTCCGAAGAACGAATGACAGCAGCGAGGCAAAAAGCCACGGCGCCGCATTGATTTTGTACCGCAGATGCCAGGGCACAATCCGGAAGGAGTGCCACCATACCAGGGATGCAACGGCTTGCAACGATTACACCTTTGCCAACCTGCAAAATTAGGTGTAACCATGGTATATACGCCACCAACCAGGGCAGTCGCGTGGGAGAAAAATAACCCCACAACAGTCTCGCATCGAGGCCTTCATCAGCGAACTGCAGATGAATTCAGTGGTATCCCCAGAAATACACCTTCAAGGTCTACCCAAATGACCTTGACCCGAAGCTGATGCGGCCTTGCAATAGAAAAGGTCGCGAGTCTGTCCCTCAAACAAAAAGACGCACCATGTTTCAGAGCATCTTAAAGTGAGTTGGAAAACATCTATGCATGTTTATATCATAAACAAATCAAACGGCAATTTTCCCACGAACAATCTTGTAGAAGATATCATACCTATCTTCACAAGACGCGGACACTGGCCCCGAAGCCCTAAACATCGGGGTCTAACGAAAAGCAGCACGAATCTTTCCTAACACGCGCGATGAAGCGTTTCTCGAAACTCTTCATCCTAGACAATCTAGGGGTGAAAAGTTGAAGGTGGACAAAAACCGATTGAGAAAGGAGACACGTGCCACTTGCACATTCCTACGACGCACTGACACATTTTTCTTGACAGCCGCATATCAGCACCGATGCCTTTATCTTGTGACCACACTGGACATCTGCTACCGACAGGTAATACCACCAAACACCAGACCTCGCCGGCTCTGGCGGGCGCTGGTAAGGGCCATCTGCTCGACCGGCCGCCAGACCAGGCTGGAAACTCTGTGGAAATTTGCCGGAAATTTGGAAATGCTGCCCCACTTTGGGAAACGCTGCCGAACATTTGTGTATGGTCTGCCCCTGCCTCTATGCACAAGGAACTTCGTGTACGTGTAATGCATAACGTCTGAACGTGTACGCCTATTGCACGATGCCAGTATGCTTTATTCCTTCATAAGTAACTCGGGAATCAGCAGGCCTGCAACATTGCATTGAGCCACATCGTGCAGACGTATGAGCAGACATACCAGCTGACATCCCACAGCGTTGCCAAGGCAACGCAACCAATCATTCCGTTTGCGTTTCCGATCACCCACCGCGCCTTACTCAATCAGAGCCGGCTGGCCGGAGCCCCCGCCAGCAAACGCAGCGTTTCGGGGCCGGCAGGACGACGGGGTTGGCGCCCGAGCAGTCAGAACTGGTAAGTCCCGGCCGGCGGGGGGCGGGCAAACTCGGTCCATCGAGGCACCGAGCTGCCAGAACTGGTAAGTCCCGGCCGGCGGAGGCCGCGCAAACCAGGTCCATCGAGGCACCCGAGCTGCCAGAACTAGTAAGCCCCGGCCGGCGGGGGCCAGGCCAACTCGGCCCATCAAGGCACCGAGCTGCCAGAACTGGTAAGCCGCGGCCGGACAGACTGAGGCACGTGCGCGAGGCCCGCGTGCGTGCTCCCAATGCAAGACGCCATGACTCCGCCATGACCGGGATCAGGCCGACGGACAACACGGCGCAGACAATGTGCCACGAGCCGCGATGCCTCAGCAACGAAGGCTCGTGAGTGCAGACTTGGACGTGTTTTCGCGATTGGAGGCCTACATAACGGGGGCCCCTGGGACACCAGAGCCCAGAACAGGGAACGTACGGTACCGCACGTGATCCTATCACACCAGAACAGCGCGCAAGGAAAGGAACTTGTCAATAATGCACAGCTGTGCACAGACCAATTGCATAACGGTACTGGCGGACCTCATTATCAAACAGTTATTTAATATTTCAAACCTGGGACGACCACTACGGGGCTCCTGATTGTTTCCGAATGAATATTACGGCAGGGATCATTTGACGCAATATTTTACGCCAAGTAACCGGGTGCAAAGTTGGACGTAGAACGTCCCGACGACCATTGTGAGCAAATCATTCAAGCCGGCGCCAAGTGCGAATGACCACGGGGCGTTTACCGTCGCACTTCACATCCGCCTGCATCGGTATGCTGTGCCGCAAACCCTCGACGGCGTCCGCCTGCACTAGCATGCTGCACCGCAATGCTACACCACCGACGCCTTGACGCGGCCGTGCGGCCCGGCAGCCAAACGCCGAAGAATCGCCATAACGATCAGCAGAACACTAGCCGTGACGCGGGCCGGCCGTGAACCGGCACACCAATAAAACATAACGTGGGCAATGGCCAGCGTGCACCAAGCATGTTTTATGTCGATGCGCACGCGCGTATCAGTTACCTGAAAGGCCTGATGAAGATGGAATATTTCGGCAAACAACTCGTGGACACGACCGGCTACAACCTGAGCGTTGTGCTGGACACAGGTTTCGAGTTCGCACAAGAAACGGTAGAATCAACCGTATATGTTGGCTGTATTCTAACAGCGAGACTTAAGGTCTCGGCTACATCTGGCCTTACGACAAAGGTTTACCACAAGCGGCCCATTCGCACAATTGTCCAAATGTTGATGTCCCTTTCCGCAAAGTAGCCCTCGTTCTATCCAACGACGTACAACATCTGGATACAACTTGCGGCAGAACACTGTCAAAACACATTTCAGGAAGCTCGGTCACGAACATGCGGAAGCGCGCGTTTCTTGCCTTTCTGCTGAAGCAGAATGTCGGCAATGCCTTACAGAATGTCAGTGAGATGCCTTACTAAGCTGCGAGCCCACGCGTGAATGCGCACCAGTGCATCATACTGCGTCTTCTGCGTCCATCATGCATCATGCATCATACTGCGTCTTCCATATGTCACCAGATTTCATCCATATTCACCACTTGACTTCCAGCATAACAACCGCTAAAGCAATGTGAACAATCCCACGATGGTAAATACCGAATATGGAATATATTACGTCGATTGGCAGGAATGTCATTGGCGAACAGTACTCACAGCTGCTCGCCCAGCTCCTCCTCCCAGGCGCCGTTTCGACCAATCACGTCCCGGGCCAGGCTGAGCGCCGTGTTTGGTTGGTCGAGGTTCAGGTAGCACGTGACCAGGCCCTTGTATCCGGTCAACTCACTTCCTGCCGGCAGCACAGAGGTCGCAAAGTCACGCAGGGCCCGGCACACACAAGTCAAATGCTCCGGCCTGAGGTCACGACCTTGACCTACGTGCGGGACGCCAGCCAGGCAGGTACTCTAGTGCGGACATAAAATTGCAGAGTGTCCGTTTTCAGAGGCTTTGTGGCGAGAATTAATTATTATAGAATGTTTCCATACTTTTGTCTCCGGAATATGCGAAGTTAAGGCTACAACGACGCCCTAAAACATCATTGTCCCATGGCATTATGCACTGATCACGGCAGGATACGCCAGATTTCATCACAATCCACTCGAATAACAATGCCATACTGCGTCTTCCAATGTCACACCACGCTTCAAGGCATGCTGCATTTGGCATCATGCATCACGCCAAGCTGAGACGTGATACATTGATACAGACTACGCTTGGAAATACTCGTGTGATTACGGGCTGGAACGGAACGGTTTTCAGCTTGTAAAATAGCGGATTCGTAGTGACTGGCTGCAAATTGGTGGAATAGACACCACTCGACACTGAAAATTTAATCCACAAAAAGCCCCACTCATGGTCATTCCAACACCAAATTCACGAGTACTTAAAGCCGCGTTACATTTGACGAGGAGCCACGAAAGACTAACGACGACTCTACACAGCCGTTCTCACGCATGCGGCGCTGTTTCGACGGGAGTTGGACGCCGTGCGTACTACAACTGCGTCGTCTCGCCCTCTGACCTCACGCACGCACTTAAATGCTGCTGTGGTCCTCCGCGCCCTCACAGACTCTTATCTAGATGCCCATCGCAGCACCTGTCATAGCCCATGCACAGAGGCTGGCTAAAACCCTTCTCGCCAGTTTTCCTCCCAAAAAAAAATAATTCGACAATTAGTCCAAAGACGGTTTAAAAGCACCACTTACTCAGGCCATATGACATATTAACTTTCGTTTGTGAGGTGAGAACGACAGTCACTGGTCGCCATATTTAGCTGACGGCCAGGATATCGTGCCATTCAGTCACATCAGCCACTAACCCAGCCAAGGTCGTCAAATGCGCTCAACAAGCTCGCCACCTTGGCCTAAGCACTCCCTGCGGTGCTGTCTAACCCGGCGTAAAATATCAGATACAAGATCCAAGATACGACACGAACCGCCCGGATGACATCAAAACACTGCAGAGCAGTCAAGTAGGCTGACGGTTTTCCTGGAGCGCCGGCCGCTTGGATGCCGACAATGATTACTTTCCGCACGACACTACACCGCATTAGGGTCAATGAGGAAGCTTTGGCGGTGAATGGGCTTCACAGCACGAAGTTTGTCCATTTCTCGAGCCTCTCCCTAACTGCTGCCGAGCAGTCTGGACCTTCAGGACACGCGACTCAACTTGACACAAAGTGACAGCTGAAACGGTTGCCAAGCTATTCGCCAATGCCTGGCGAACAGTTGGGAAAATAAATACAAACTCGACCCAGGTTGACACCAAGTCACCATACTACAGATCTCACAAGCAAACCAACTTTCGGTGACGCACGCAAAGCCAGTGAGTATCGGAGGACGTGCAGGAACACGAACCCCTAATCAGCTCCTGGCAGGGATAACACTATTGGTCAATCATAACAATTCTTCAGCAACAGAAATGACGGAGAACAGCTTTCTGGCACATATAGTGACGTCAACAGGACCAGTCAGGTGCCATGACCAAAAGCGGGTATGGATTGTCGCCTTAGGCTCACGTTACGACTGACTCTGCTCTTAATCTAATCGCGTTCTTCCGAAACAAGAACGTAAACGAAGCTCACACAACAACGCACGGTTGCACCACCAGTGGCATTCAGCAGAAGTCCAATTGCCTCCTGCCAACCAGTCAACAACTGCCAACCAGTCAACAACCTAAGTGACTTCACGCTTCGCCAGTCGACATAAGACACACACGTTTTTGACGAAGTCGACGACACTCCACGCTCGCCCCGCATAACGCCACGTTCCGTGGAATTCGTCGTTCCGTGGAATAGGTCGTTTCGTGGAATAGGTCGTTCCGTGGAATTGGTGACGAACCGGACGTACTCCGCCCGCCTGGCGGGCAGCGGTAAATCCTCTGCTGGCTGACCATTCTCGCGTAAACGCACGCGACAGCAGGGCAACAGAACACCGCAGTCAATCAGCCATGGTCGCCGCGGGCTTGCTAGTCAGCGACGCAGAACAATGTTAGCAGCGCATTGCCATCTCGGCTACAAACGACGGTGAGCTAAACTGCAATGCCACCTCGGCTACAAACGACGGTGAGCTAAATTGGCACGCTGGGGAAACCTTCTCACCCGGCCCCCGCAGTTGTCAAGACCGGCGTTCCAGGGCTGTTGGTAACATTACATGTATTGATCTCCGGTACTTTAAGGGCTCCAACAAGTCATGATCAAAACCCTTGGAACTATCTTGGAAAAGTGAATTTCAGCGAAGCGTTAAATGCTTCGATGACAGAAAACCTGCAGCCATTAGAGACGCGTTAGTCTGAATAATACATGTCCACCTTGAAGAAAATGCTCCTCTTGTTACAGCACCTGTACAGCTCAAACCTTTTACAGCAAGCTTTGGTGGGTGTTAAGCATCAACAAGCATAGCATCAACAGCACGCGTCGTGAAGAAAATGACACCATATCGGTAACGATACTTTCACTGTGTTTTTAACCGAAGCCTGACAGTCGGCGGCACACGCCTGAGTGATGCTTGAGTGAAATTGCAGAGACAAAGTATGGCTGATAATTGTCTTCCATTGGCGAAGGACCCAGCCGCTGTCTCTAAACATCAAAGGTCGTCCTCTAGCGTCCCACCGCCTCTGTTTTGTCGAGCTTTTTATGGCGACAAAACGAAGCACACAACCTCCTGCAACGTAGCGCAGCCTCCAGCGCCTGAAGCCACGTCTGCCGTTGCCGGGGGAGGGAAGGAGGGGGGTTAAAGGTGAGCCAGCACAGTTGCCCCGGGGCGCGGCGCCCACCATGTCCGGTCGCCAACACCAGGGTCGATACAAGCACGCCTTGCCCTACTGTGTAATCGCCGGGGGAGATCGATGCCATCGTCTGTGTCGCTGGACGATGCGCAGTGGCGCGCACAGGAGCGGCGAGCGGGGGGAGACGGGGGAGGGTGATGTTTCTAAGGCGCAAAAGTGTGATTCATGATGTCAATGGTCCACGCGGAGCCGGTACCAGGCTTTCCGCCACACGCCAATGAAATTATTGGTTAAGTTCGATGATCCATCTTATTGTCCATACCCTGATGGAGAAGCACCGCGTGGTCTCATTAAGTGTTCAGTCGAAGCGGGGAAGCCTGCTGAGTCGGACTATGCCGACTTCTTCGGCCAACTGCACCAAACGCATTAGGACAGAGTGATCCAGTCCAAACCAGTCTGATACGAAATCCGCTTGATGCAACGAGATGCGAGTCAAGCATCGACTCCATCGGCGGCATCTCGTGGCCTTAATGATCCGGTGCACACACAGCAAACCGGAGACAGAACCACAACATTAGGGACGGGAACCCCGGTAATTATTGTGCGCTTGGCAAAAGACAGAACGCCACAAAATGCGTGGATCTTTCTGAGCGAAAATAAGGAATACCACACCACAAGATCCACAAAACCGTCAGGATATTTTTGGCAATATTTCCCCAATGCCTTTCCTCCGGAAATAAAGCACTTCCGAAGGAAGAGAGCCCACCCACTTATCCCTGCAATTTCCTACAGTTCACTACGAGCTTGACTTTCTTTTTCAAGTGAGGCCACCTTTGATCCACCCCCCCCCCCCCCCTCTTACCACAGCTCCTACCTATTTCTACCGAATTTCTGGCGCCTTTATCCCTGAATACCAGTCGCGGCAGCTAAGGCATGTCCACTACCTCTGCCACAGCCCCGTCAACGGTACCCACGTCGCTGCCGTCTACGAACTCGTGACTCACTCCCATCACTGGTCCCATCTAAGTCCATCCCTAGTCACTCGTCCGAGTCCCATCACTAACCGAACCCAGGTCATCCCGTCAGCCCAGAGGACGTCATCCCCCCAGGTGAGACGACCTGGCGCCGCCCCTGCCGCGGCGCCGCCGACCCTCGCGTCGGGCCGCCGCCGCGGTCAGTCGCGTCCCACAGCCGGCGGCGGCAGCGCGCAACCGGTCCTGGTCCAAGGAGGCTCACTTGGTGCAGGCTAGACAGTGACGTCCGCGAGGGAACACATCTGCATCAGGAGCGAGCACTGTCGGCTGCTTAGCCAAGGTTAACAGGTGACAAGCTCCTCGATTGTTTGACTTTGACAAACAAGGAAATCGCGTCAAAGACCGTAGCACCATCCAAGCTCCTTTGAAAAGCCTTCACGAGACTGGGAATTCGGACCGACAATCGTACCCGTGCCACGACGGAGCTGATCACGCACGCTCCCAGCGACGTCATTATCGCCAGCACGTGTGACGTCATCACCACGACGATGGCCGTGGACACGTCGCCGCCCGCGGGCGGCTCACGGACCGAGCCACTACCGCTCGACCCCGCCAAGCTGACGCAGGCCTACCGGCACTCGGCCGCAGTCGCAGTTCCCGAGGTGGCCACTGGGCGGCGCTCGCCTCTGGCCGGCCACAACATGCCGCCGATCGAGCGGCTGCCGTCAAAGTTCGCCATGCGTCGCGACGTGCAGCGACTGGTGCGAGACGAGGCGGAGTGCGGCCGGCAGCGCCCGCCCACCCCCGCTCGGCCGAGTCTGCCGCAGCTGGACGCCTCAATGGGCGCGTCCGTGTGGTCGACCGGGGCATGTCAGCGAGGCTGCAGGTCAAGGTCGGAGCCGCGCACAACCGGCCGCGAGAACCAGGACGAGATTGACCAGGTGAGCCCCGCATACACAGCGCATGTTAATGGGGGCAAAAATGCCAGATGATTTTCCAAAATGCCGGGATGTACGAAACTTATGTACTGTTGAATCCCTTTGTTTTTTCGGGCATTATTTCATCCAAATGAAAAACAAAAAACAACGTAA